CAGGTCGCTCGCCATCTGTTCAAAGATGCTGGCTGGCGATGGCTGCAGGAGGCTGCTCATCCCCTCGCTGCTGCAGACACACGTGGGCCACCAGCCTCGCGATGCCCACTGCCGCACAGGGAGCAGCTGCACCAGGTGCCGGGAGTAGTGTGCCATGGCTCTGCTCCTGCTGCACACACTGCCTTGCCTTGCTCAGCTGAGCACTGCCTCTGCTGCCTGCCGGGCTGCCTTTTGTACCCGTGGCACTTCTAGGCACTTCCTGAACTTTCCTCCTCCTGCTCGTATCCGGGCTGAGCCCACCCCCTCTGGCCGTATCTGGCCTTGGTGGGAGGGCCCTGGCCCTGACTCATGAATGATGGATCAGGGCAGCGGAGCCTGGGACTTCTGGCACTGTGTAGCAGGGCTGGCTGCGTGCTCGGGGCTGGGCATTGCTGGAAGGTGCCTGACCTCTCTGGGTGCACAGTGTGGGGCAGGCTGCAGAGCGAGATCCCTGCTGCCTGGATTAGCCATCGTTGTCACGTGGGCGTGGGAGATTTTCCTGGTAAATCTCAGTTGTGCTAAAGTACAGGGTTGTTGGAGGGATGAGAGAGCTGACATCTGTGTGTGTAATCCTGTCTGCCAGGCTCATCTTGGTGCGTTGCCCTGTCCCACCCTGGCTGGGCCACGTGGAGTGTGAGACGGCTGCTCACAGACCTGGGTCTTTCAGCTCCAGCACTAGAGGATTGTACAAGAGTTCAAGGGGTGCCAGGTTTTAAGCGCGCTGTCAGCACCCAGGGGCATAACGTTATACATGCACTATGCATAGCTAAACACTCAAGATACACACACACAGCTGCAGCATTCAGACCCAGATGTGCCCTCCTATCATGTAAATGCAGCAGCGAGCATGCACACAGTTGCAGATGCACAATAACCCGTACCTCTAACACGTGTCTTCCATGAATAACGGCATCTCCCCCTCCCCGTTTCCCCTCTCCCGCCACATGACTAGTATCACAGCCTTTGGGACCAGAGTCTCTGGGAAGCTCTGAAGTTCCTGCCTGTTGCTTTTTCCTGACACTGGGGGTGCATCCTGCCCATGCATGCTGATCATTTCTTGATCCCTGGAGATTGGCTGACTTCACACACCAGCCTTCTGCCAGGCTGGTCCCATGACTGCGAGTCGCTAGAAAGGCACTGAGTCAGCTGGATTTCTCTGGAGGCTCCTAGAGCATTTCTCTGCAATCCTGGACAACGGGGCTCATGCAAAAGCCATGTTTGCACCAGGGGGAGCAGGAACACAGCCCTGCAGCCTGTCCCCGTACTGTGCACCCAGAGGGTTCTGGTACCTTCCAGGAAAGCCTGGGTGGTAGGAATAGAGGGCTATAGGTTATATAGGAGAGAGAGAGTAGGGAAAAAAAGGTGGGGGAGTTGCTCTCTGTGTCAAAGAACAGTATGCATCTTCCCTAATCAAATTCGGGTCAGAGGGTGGTCAAGCAGAGACTCTGTGGGTTAGGATCCAAGGGGCTCCAGACAGAGAGGCAAGGCTGAGCAGGGTGGAAGAAGCATGCAGACATGAGGTGTGGAGTCAAAAGCTGCACAGCTCCATGTATCTCCACCACATCCCTGCCTCCCAGGACAGACACCAGGCCTCCCAAGACTATGAGACACCAATCCCAGGTGGTGCTTACATGACGCATAAGAGTAACCCAGAAATGCATCCTCACTAACTGGCATGCTATTGCTACACGAC